GGGATATGATAAACTTGAGGTAAAGATAAAGAAGATGTGGAAACAGTACCAATATGACGGACAGTCATGAGAGAACCATCAGTAGTTTGAATTGAGGGAATGTGAGGAGATGAAGAGATGGAAGAAAATATAGTTGAATTGGAGGTCATATGATTACAACAGGCAGAGTCAAAATACCAAGAAGAGTTACCTGGAATTACAGACAAAGCAGTATGAGGAGGAGTACCAGAAGGGGAGAGAAGGTGTTTGAACATGGCCTCGACATCCGTTGGAGAAAAAAGAGGAGTTGACAGAGCAGGAGACTCAGAAGAACCCTCAGCGGCAGCAGCAGCAGTGTGATGAGACTGATTCCCGGAATGAGACTGATTCCCGGAACGATGAAAGCTCCCCCGAGAAGAACCACCGCGAGAAGAGTGACTGTTGGAGGATGAGCGGGTTGGATTGCGAAAACAATCCTGTTGCAGATGACCAGGACTAAGTTTGTTGCAGTATCGGCAGGTTCGGACGGGGCAATTGACCAGGAGATGTGTTGAAGGAAGGCCCCGATTCTGATAGTAGAGGCAGGCCGTGGTCCGCTGGGTGAATGATGGCCGGTACGGAGGAGTGGCAAGAACAGAGTCTACATGATGAGTTTGGAGAGTACCAAGGCGAGTTTCCTCTGATAGCAACTCAGAAATAGCTTGTTCCAGAGTGGGCAAGGGATGGCGATGAAGAAGAGAGGCACGTACGGGCTCAAAAGATGAAGTGAGAGCCATGAGAAAGTGCACCAACCTTTGCTGATTTCGATAGGCAGTAAATAAAACAGCATCTTCTCGGTGAGGCCAAGTCGGTTCGGAAAGAGCAAGCTGGTCCCAAACGGAGTACATTTGAGAAAGGAAGTCATTGATGGACTGACTAGATTCTTGGCGCATCCGATGAAGTTGGCTCTGAAGTTGATATTGATGAGCAAGACCAGTAGTCTGGTATCGTTCTTTCAAAAAATCCCAGATGTCTTTTGCAGGAGTAGTGACAGAGTCAAGCTGAAAGCGACCAAACTGAAGACTGATAGAGGTAACAGAAGTATTTCGAAACCAGGTAATGATTTGGTAATTCTTACTGTCCCATTCCTCAAGGTGATCTTCATATGTAGGAGTAGCAGGAGGAACCGTGGTTTCAGCAGTGTCTTTCACTGGTTGGGTTATGTCCCCGGTGATAATTCGCCAGAGTTTCTTTCCTTTGAGGAAGGAAGACATGGCTTGGGCCCATAGAACATAGTTGGAACCATTCAAAATAACGGAGATGGGATGGGAGGCATCATGACGATCTATAATAATAGTTAAGTAAGGCTAAATTGATAGGAATAGACCAGTAGGAGCAAAATTAGGTAAAACAGAGTGTACCAATGAGTCCGGAAGGTCGAAAATAGCTAGGAAAGGTGGGCTGTGTAGAGATGATGTCAGCAGGATGGAAAATGATGTCGGCGACGCACGTTAGCAGAGAGGGCGTGCGGCGCACGGTAGCAGAGAGGGCGTGCGGCGTATAGTAGCAGAATGGCGCACGCGGGTGCACAATAGCGGAACGGCGCACGCGCAGCTCACGGTAGACGAATGGCGCACGCGGGTGCACGGTAGCAGGCGCGGCGCACGAAAGGACAGAGTGGAAGGCGTGTGAAGGCGCGTGTGAGCATGGCAACGGAAGCAGAGACGCGCCGAGCAAAAGGGCGGCGCGTGAGAGTGTTTCTGGTGACGGGCTTGGTGCCGTTGGAATCGTAAGGAGATTTCGAGTTGTTTGGTGTAGTTCCACTGCATACGGGACTAAGCACCAAAATTGAAGAATGCCAGAATTGTATTACTGGGCTCTGATACCATGAAAGATTGGTAAAGAGAGAGAGAGAAAAGAGAGAGACTGGAATGAAAGATTGGTATCGTATAGAATGTCTTGAATAAAGAGGTACACTCTCCGTTATATAGGAGAGAACATTACAAACATCATCATGCCAAAAGTGTATCCACTAACTGAAAGTAAATGGACTAATCTAAAGCCTAAAGCACTAACATAAAATATATTAACAAATATAAAAGTGAAAGTGTGTGGTAGTGGGTTGACAGTTACAAATGCACTATGATGGATATTGTATGTTAACAAGTGATATGATTAAAAAACATAAAATATGATCATGGAGTAAAACATACCTTTTCTGTTGGGATCTGCTCCATAATCCAGTAGTAGAAGCACACATTCTACGCTTCCTTTCGATGCTGCAATATGCTGTAAAGTAAAAAAAATAAAATAGAGAGATAAAGTTGAAGCCTCCAAATTTGACAGTTATTTTGAGCATGATATACATATTTATGCATGTGTGGAAATATTGAAAACTGCATACCAAAGGTGTTCGGCCATTGCTGTCCAGCTCATTTGGGTCCATACCCCGTTTCAGCAACTGATGCAACAATAGATCATCTCCTCTCATTGCTGCAAAACATAAACTGAGAGGCAAATCCATTCTTCCCTGAGCCAGCGT